AGGAATCGCAGGATTTCGATCGACGATGACTAGACACATCTGACAGCCTCGTTATTAATTACCTCGCGATAATTCACCGAGCTATTAATTATGTTCCGACCGGGGCGAAGCAAGGCGCTTCATTGTCCCGGCTCATTAATCGAAACTTCTTATCTGTCGACCTCTCACACTGAGAAAAGCTACGTTTTAATGGCACTTTCCGAACGACCATACTTCTTCTTGCGGTTCGTTTCTCATTTTGAACGTGTCTCGTAGAAAATGGTTGCGGAGAAGTACGACAAGGCCGACCCTGAGTTGAAACTGGAATTGAAGACGATCGCCCAGCAGATCGTGGCACCCGGAAAGGGAATCCTAGCCGCCGATGAATCGACCACGACGATTGGCAAACGTCTGAAGGACATCAACGTCGAGAACACCGAGGAAAATCGTAAAGCGTACAGGCAGCTTCTTTTCACCACTGCTAAGGTACTTTTTAAAATTACTATTCCGTCTCAGAATGAATTGAAAAGATTCTTCTCTGATGGTAACGGCGTCAGACATCGTCAGTCTTCTAACGATCGTTCTTTCTCTCAAGGATGTTATCAGCCAGCATATCTCCGGCGTGATCCTGTTCCACGAGACTCTGTACCAGAAAGCCGAGGACGGGACACCGTTCGTAGAGTTGCTGAAGCAGCGTGGCATTCTGCCAGGCATCAAGGTGGACAAGGGAGTCGTTCCACTGTTCGGCACCGACGACGAGTGCACCACCCAGGGTCTCGACGATCTCCAGGCTCGTTGCATCCAGTACAAGAAGGACGGATGCCAGTTCGCCAAATGGAGGTGCGTGTTGAAGATCAAGAAGGACTGTCCTAGCAAGCTGGCCATTCTGGAGAACGCCAACGTGTTGGCTCGTTATGCTTCCATCTGCCAGAGCGCCAGGATCGTGCCGATCGTCGAGCCGGAAATCTTGCCCGACGGTGACCACGATCTCGCCCGATGCCAGCAGGTCACGGAGGAGGTTCTCGCCGCCGTGTACAAGGTAACAGTCTTCCTGGCAATTTAACGCTTCACCTGGAAC